TCCTTAGAAAGTCATCTGTCTGTCTGTCTGTCTGTCTGTCTGTCTGCCGTCCGTCCGTCCGTCTGTCTATTGATTGATCTATTTTTCTATGTTTCGCTGTTTAGATGTTATTCTCTGTTTTTCAGAGTTTTTTTAATGATCTGCTACTTATTAGGACCAAATTCCGTTTTATTTTATTGTATTTACATTTATCTTGTCATATTTTGCTGAATGAGTTCTAGTCTCGATTTAAAACTGGTTTCTACATAGCTTTCAGATCCCAGTAAGCAGAACAAGTGTCTCTGTGCTGCCCTAAATCCAATTCAGTGTCAAGGAGCAATTTTCAGTCAGTGAACTATTTAGTTATAAAGGTTCTTCTTTAGCAGAGCCAAGCGAAAAGCCCACCTATCTCAATCTCTGTATTTACAGACGGTACATTAGGGTTTTTCTAGCCTGCTACTGGATTCTTTTTGAAAGAGCAAATAAAGTTTGACAAGAGATTATTGTTCTTCTGTTTTATCTCTACCTTAGCTTCTGCAGATTATTGGTTTAAAACATATGAAAGGCAGTGCAAAATAAAAAGAAGTGAGTCCTGATACTCTCTGAAGAACCGTCTTTGATCTGATTCTACATCTAAAGAAACAAGGGGAGGAGAAAAAAGTGAGCTTGAAGCTGTGAGAAGGGAAATGCTCAACCTCTGTCCGAAGCTAAATTTGTCTTTCTGGTATCTATGCCGATTGCAAGGAGTCACTCTCCACAGGCATTGAAGGGCGCAAACAAATGAACGTCTGCGTTCCATCACATTAGGAGTGGTACATAGGCGAGAACCGTCTGATACAAGTGGAGGAAATGAGAGCCTGTGTGTCCCTCCTTCTGGTGCTTTGGAAACTTGTGTATTCTTCTGTGGTTTGTTGGTTTTTTAGTCTCTTTCAGTGTCTTGTAGAATAATTTAGACACTTTATTTCATCTGACAGATCAACACAAAGTAGTTAAACACTTGCATTGCAATGCATACTGCATTGTTTTTAAAATGTTTTAGAATTAAAAATCTGAAAAGTGTGGCGTGAATTTGTTTATCGCCCTACTGGGCCATAGTTTATAGAATCATCTTCTACTGCCATTTTGACTCCTAGTCTTTTGGGTGACTAAGGATCAGTTGGATTTAATAGAAAACAAAAATGCATCCCTAAAGGCTTGCATGTAGATTTAATTTATCTAAATTTTCCCTACAGCTGAATATGCCATGCTTCCCTTCCACAGTAACTCTGAGTGGATTTCCCTGGGTTCTGCTGCGTGTTTTAAACAGGCTCTTCTGTTTTCTTTGTTGTTTGCCCTGTTTTTTAGCACCCCAATATTATCATAAACTCTGGCCACCTTTCCTGTCCCTGCTGTAGAAAAACCTACCCACAGCATGATGATGACCCACCATATCTCACTATGCTTTCCAAGGTGCTCAGTGTTCAGTTTTCCACCAAGCAGTATGGATTAATTTTTTCCCCCCCCACATTTACCTCGTTCACTACTTTGCTTACGAGAAACTGCAGACAGGCTTTTGTCTCAATTACAGTTTTCTTCTCGTCACTTTTGCAGGTGAGCAGCTAATAACTGCTGTGTATCCATCTGGATTGATCCTGTTCTTGCCTGTAAACTTAGTTTAAGCATTGCTTAGATTTACAGCCATTTTCAGATAACAGATTGAACGAGATCCTTTAAGCCTGGGGTTATGATTTGAAATCAGACTCAGTTTTAAACTTCTTCTTTAAACTTTGTCATCAATCTGTCAATCTGACCGAGTCTTACGATCTTAGATCTAGCCAAAAGGCTCTTATGATCTTGTTTAGAGATATGCTAAGAAGAGCAGATTATAATTCTTCCTTTGAATAAATTCTACTCAGAATCTCTGTAATAATCTGCCCCTGCTGTAAGGCAACTGCACTTGGTAAGAATTCTTGTTTTGAGAAAATCTGAGAATCTGCTCTTGCTTAGTATATAAATCTCAAAATAAGATCAAAAAGACTTTTTGGGCTAGATTTAAGATTGTAAGACTTGATTAGAGGGACAATTTTGCATTGTTGGTCGAACTGATCATGCTTATCATCTAAGTACTCTATCAAACCACTAAGTCTGTCTTAGATCAGTTTGATTTATTCTGCATTGCAAAAAATTAAGCATAGCTAAATAGTTTTTTTTCCAGGTGGATCATCAAAATATCCCCCTGGTAATATGTTTACCTAAAGCCGTGCGATAAATTTTCGATAAAGTCCTACGTAATATTAATTTTCTTGAAATAAGTTTATTTTCCCTTGATTTGAGCAGATAAGTAAGACAATTTGTTTATTAAATAAGGTAATTTATGTTTGAAATAAGAAAAAACAACAACTCTGTCTCAATATTTTGTAAGTTTAGAATAAGCATCATATTATATTGGCAAAAGTACGCATTCTACCAGCAGATCATCTTGTTTACCTTCTCAAATTAAGGTTATATACACAAAAGTTGTTGGAAGACAAAATTAAAAAGATGCAATAAGTGTTAACAGTTTTGAAGGCAGTGTATGTCATCTATTACAAAAGCAAAGTTTCTCTGCTAAGCTGAAGATTCACAGTAACCCTTCGATAATGACTTAAGGGACTTCTCTCATGCTGATGGGGGGTGAAGCAGTGTAACACCCCCTCTGAAGAGCACACTACTCAGCTGAGTAGAAGCAAGCTGAGGCTTGTCAGAACACATTTGTAAACCTTTGGTTAGCTCAGCAGGGCTCTGGTCTTCTCAGCTTTGTTTCCGTAGTTTGAACCTCTGACCTGACAAACTCATCTGAAATCCCTCCTCACTATAGAGATAATAATCTCATATCTACTAAAAAAGTGATTTGTTTTCTTTTACAGTAAAAATCCATATTGCAAACCTTTATTGCAACTATAAAAATGTGTCATATAATTAAAGGGAGGATCATTCTTTTAATAAACACTTTCACAACTGATCTAAAAATAAGTAAAGGTCTATTGAAAGTCAACATATTTATAATTTGAGCAGTTAAGTAAGATGATCTGCTGATAAAATGGGATATTATAGACTTGAAATAAGATAATAATCATTGTTTTCCATTGGCAATTCTTACCAGCTGAAATGAAGAGTAAAATTTACTAACTTGTATTGTAATGTTTGCATTTAAAGAAAATATACTGCACTTCAAAAACAAAATTAAGCATCAATTTCTGAAAAATAAATGCATTTCACCATAGTTTGAGAAGGCTTATAAGACGATTGGTAAATGGAGTATTTATGATCCTTAGGTAAAAATAATTAGATTCTATGCACTTGAAATAAGATAATAAAGCTGTTGTGTTATATCTTAAAGGTAAATAATCTTGGTCCATTGGCAGGTTGTCTTACTTGCCTGCTCAAATCACGGAAAAATACACATTTTAAGAAAGGATGAGGACCATATGCTTAAAGAGAAGGGACTGCAGCTCCAGCTGCTGCTTCGTATGAAATATAGAATACTTTGTCTGATTGATCTTCTTTGGCTGCTTTATTTATGACGGTTTGAGTCTGTGTCATTGATCGTTTCAAAGCCCCAGCATCAAATACCATATTCACAACCGTTCCCATGGTAACAGACAAAATGATTCGGGAGATCCTTTCGCTCAGGCTACAGGTTCATGTTCTGGATGTAGACATGTAAAAAAGACAGGGGGATTTCCATACGCTGCTAAATTGCTTCTGACAATGGAGCTGATTTTGTATTTTGAGTCCAGCAAAAACAAAGTAGCACAGCTTTGCTTCTTGCACTTGAACCCCCGTGAGCCATTTTTTACAATGTAAAGGGAATTTTTGAAGAGCAAGGAGATCTAGAGAGAAGAAACATAAGAGACAAGTCAGTACAAATGGAATACCATGTTTATTACTTAACTGTGATTTTTTTTTATGTCTTAATTTAACATTTTATTAGATTAGATAAAAACCTATTTTTCAAGTGAGTCCTGGACAAGAGGCAACAATAAATAAAACACAAAGTTACATGGTCAAAAGTCAAAACAACACGTTATGAAAAACAGGTAAGTGTTTTTGAATCAGCCTCACAAGCTAAACTGAGTTGATTAAAAGTTTTCTAAAGCAAGCTCCTGGAGGGCGGAGCTGAGTGATCGGAGGCTTTCCTTGGCCAATTCAGTTCAAGCAAAAGGAACTGAATGAAACAGAAAACTGTTGGAGATGAAACTACATTTCTCGACCCTAGAACAGATTTAGGCCAGAAACAGTCCAAGTTATTCCTTGCATATAAGAATTAACTAATGGGAATTCCTTTAAGCAGCCGAAACCTAGAAATATAAATCACTGTGGTGTGTTGACATTTTGCAGTTTGCAATGGATCTCAGTGAAGAGAGATGGACGGAGTCTAGCATCCTGAGACACTGTGACGAAGCAATGATGTACAAGTAATCTCCATAGTCTCACACAGTCATTAAAGTTGCACCAATGAGCTGCTTGCTAGCAGTGTGTGAAAAACACTTGTTTCGGATATTTAGGATATTTTCCACATGGGGCTTAAAAGTGAGCAAGTAGTCAGTAAAATGCCCAGATATTGATATTAGGGGTACAAATTGTAATGAATTTGGTGAGATGATATGTATCATGATGCATTTGTAACAATGTGATTTATCCCAATATATCACAGTATAATAACAAAGACAATATCTGGTAATTTTTAAAATAATATACCTCTGAAAAAACTTTACTATATCTCAATGTTGCTTTGCTGAGACTGGTGCAGTTCAGCAAGATAATAGGCTGCTAACTAGTGGGTGGGAGTTTCATAAAAAGTTACATAATGACTTAGATGTTTGCCTGTAAATATTGTTTTTTACATTTAAGATCCAATCAGCTGTATTTTAAATCAATACAAATGATGTCTAATAAAGCATCATGACATTTGACAGAATATTTTTTATTTTTTTTTGCAACCCTAATTTAAATTTGATTCTTCATAGGATAAATTCCTTTCTTCACCTTCCATTTGACAGCTCCACCCAGAATGACCCATCAGCCACTGTGGGTAAAGTTCGGGACTTGGCTTCTTTCCGACGACATTTCCGGATGGGCTTTATGACCATGCCAGCCTCCCAGGACCTGTCCCCTCACACCTGTGCCTCTGCCATGGCACCCCGCTCTCAGTCCTGCCACGCGGTTGGCGGTGGGGATGCAGGCCTTGAGAATGGAGATTACTCCGACACTCAGTCGCAGCCAGGCGGCCGCTGCCCCCCAGCCAAACCCAAACGCCATCCAAGTACCCGCCTCAGCTCCTCGTCTGCAGATAGCAGAGGACCCCCTGAGACCCCGCCGCCACCTTCAAGCTCCAGTTCGCAGTCCAAGCACTCAGAAAAGAAAAACTGTGAGTACAAGTGCGTCTTTTGCTCATGTTCATTGCTTAAAAAAATTAACCACTTTTTTAACCACCTTGGTATGTCTTGCAGCCATGAAGAAGTCTGACTCTGGGGAGATTGGAGCAAAGAAGGTGCCTCCTTTGAAACCCAAAAGGAGTCCCAGTACCCAGCTGACATTTGACTCCCTTCCTCCACGTGTGCCTCCCTCTGCCACCCCCTTGCCCTTCCAGGCAGCAGACTCTCAGATTCAGACAGGAGATGGAGAGGATGAGCCAGTCTACATAGAAATGGTGGGCCAAGTGTTCACAAGAGAAAGCCAGACTGCTACGCCCCACCCCGTCACCCCTGTGGCCACCACGCCCGACTCTGACTCTGACCAGAGCGAGGCAATCTATGAGGAGATGAAATACCCGCATCAGGAGGACAGAGATTCCCACAGGCATCTCCCTCCGAAGCATGAGAAGCCAAAATCCTCGAAGCACTACCATATCACCACTTCTTCCTCCAGCAGTTCTTCTCTCCCTCGCCCTTCCTCTTCGTCCCCATCCTACAACAAACCCAAAGCTACAGTCTCCATCTCCCATTCCTCCCCGCTGCCTTCCTCTGCGTCCTCCACTCCTGTACCCCAGGTCCTGTCCACCAGTCCCCACACACCACGAGCTCCAACGCCCTATCTGCTACAAGGAGGCAAATCAGAGTCAGAGTCCAATACGAAGATCCCTGCCCCGTTCCCCAATCTCCTGCAGCACAGGCCCCCTCTGCTTGCCTTTCCTCAGCCAGCAGCTGCCTCTAGCGGGGTTGGGGTTCAAAACAAGACGTCCTCAGCTAAAGCCCAAACATCCAACACAACAACTCAAGCCAGCACCTCATCATCAGCTTCTTCTAATGTTTCCACCACCCTATCGGGGTCAAAAGAATCATCAGGAGGCACATCACAGCAGGACAAATACAGCCGAGACTCCCAGCTAGGTCCCGCTCCTGGACTGAGGGCCAGGAGTCACTCCACCCCACTACCTCCCTCCTCCAAATCCACTTCTCCATTCTCTCATCATCACCACCATCCTCACCATCGCCCCTCGCACTATCATCACTACCGCAAGCCAGACCGAGGAGACTCCCCTGCTCCAACCAAGAGCAGCTCTCAGACGTCCAACCAGGCAACGGTCCAGACGCAAACCTCAAGTACAGGCAAGGAGGGCAAGTCTGTGAGCTTCCTCCTGAAGTCTGAAAAAGGTGAAAGGGAGAAAGACCGGGACAGGGGCAGAGACAGGGACAAGGAGCGAGACAGAGACAAGGACAAGGACAGGGATCGAGATAAAGACAGGGAACGTGAGCGAGAAAGGGACAGGGATAGAGACAGAGACAGAGATGGAGGACCACACTCGTTACCAGTAGAGAGCGTCACCACCTCTAGCAGCCAAACACCTCAAAGCAGCACCAGCTCCACTCCTACGCCGTTGTCCTCTTCCCAGCGTCCTCATTCTCGCCCACACCTCCGCTCTCACACACCCCACGGCCTACCGGCATACAAGCCGCCCTCCTCAGACAGCCCGCTGTTGTGGACCTACCCATCAGGTGGCTTTCGGAGGCCGCCGGCATACGAGAGCTTGAGGGCCAGCTCTCAGACACCCTCTCTGCAACAGCCTTCAAGTCTCACTGGTCTGGGTGAGGGCACGTCTAAAAGCGTGTCCTCATCACAGTCAAAAGTTGGCTTTATGCCCTGGGACAGCAGCTCCAGCTTAGCTACGGATGAGGGGTGTTACTGGCCCATGCATAGGAAACTGTCCTTCAGCCATGGGAGCCGAGAGGCAGAGAGTAAGTCATTATTTAAACTCTGACCTGAAGGGATATAACTGGATATTTTAACTGAGGGTTAACAAGCATGTGCTTTGTTATCTGTAAGTGAGAACCTGCTTAGCATTTTCAAGGATCAACTATAGATTGTCAAAATGGATTATGCAAAGAGAGTTTTACAGACCTTTAAACTTTTGGTTATTGGGTGGTAACTCATACTGAAGCATGAATGAAAGTAGAAGCTGGTGCTCTTCCTGTCTAAGAACAGACAATGTAAAGCTCATCTGAGTAACCATGTAATAAGGTAAAGGTATTACAGCAATTAAAGTTAACCCCATTTTATGCCTGTATTAGAGTGGCCAAGAGGTGCACGTTAATGTATGCATCAAATTCAAAAGGTCCTGCAAACTCAGAAATAAGAGTAGTTCAAAGAACAGAGGCAAAAAAAAAAAAAATCTGAAAAGGGGAAAATAAAGAGCAGCATGATAGAAAACGCTGCTAACACCTAAATAATGCTAACACCTAAAACACATGCAAAGGAAAAATACTGCGAGGAGCAAACACAACTGCAAGTTAAGAAAAGCTGCTAAGAAGCGCAACTGGAACCAGAGCCTTAGAAAAGACAAAATTGAGGTTCTAAGATAGATTTGGGGCCTGATCTTTAAAGATTCAAAATAAGGATTGAGGCTAGATTGTGCAAATTATTTATAGTTTTTGCAATGGAATGAATTGGCATGTAGCCAGTGATCTCCAAACATGATCTGAAACAATAAATTTTTGAAATAATCATCTTATTTATTAATCATGAATAGTTAACTCGATATATACAGAGTCTAACATGCCAGTGGCTGAAAGAGAAAACCGCTCAGAGCAGCAATTCTGCCAAACTGTAAAAATATATATAAACGCTCTAGTTTTAAGGTGGAAGACCTTTTCTATCTGTGATTAAGCTCTATCCAGAACTCCTCAGGAGGCAAAGGTTTAGCTTTACTTTGCATGGAATCTGTTTAAAATCTTCTTAAAGGCACTTTGTGTTATCAGATAAATAATTGATTCATTGAGATAATAACAGATTAACCGATTAGCAAAATAATCATTAGTTGCAGCTCTACAACAAAAAGTGCTGCCACAATGTTCAGACAGAAATACTGGTTTGGTTTGGCCCCATAAAAATGTGCAGATAGCGTGATCTACAGGCAGTCTGAGAACGACCGCTACAAACAGACGAGGCTCTAACTCAGGTAGTGGGTTAGGTGATGATAAAAAATATTTAAACAATGATCATACTAAATTTATATTGCATGTCACATAGGTAGCCAATCTTTAAACCCTATGAACAAGACTAGAATGAAAAAAGTTAAATATTAAAAAATAAAACAATGAAAGAAGAGAAAGTTGTCTTTGTCTGCTGACTGACCCCCCAGTGGTTGTTTTTTGCTAGTTGTATCATTTTTCCTTTGCATGTGTTTTGTGCGTTTGGCTCGTTTTTGCTAGTCTATTTGTTGAGTAGGACCTTTTCAATTAGGTGGGATATCATGTATGTACACAGCATTTTTACCTCTCGGCCACTGCACTTTATCCTGCACTTATTTATGAAGATTATAAACTCCTAAATAAACAGCTCATATAAACATGCCAAAAACACAAACCAAATATTTCTTTAACAGGTTCCCAAAACTTGTTTTGCTTGAACCTCCTGCAGTGATTTGAGTTATTTAAGGTTGACAGAAGTCCCCCTCGGTTACCTTCTGCAGCTAACACATCATCTGCTCATACCATTTTAGTGCTTTAACCCTTTAAAGCCCGATCCAAGAATAAAACAAAACAGAAAATAACTTTTTTTTGTTTGAATTCCTTATTTGCCCTTCGAACAGAATATGTAAAAAGAAAAAACAGAAATACATTTTTGATATTAATAATTTATTACTATGCGATAAGTCAAGATAATTTTTTGTGTAGTCTTCTGCCCTCTGTTATCAGATATATCTGATTGTGTACAATAGGATTTTGAGCAAAGTTTTTACCATTAAATTATGCAAAAGGTGTCAGATGCAAAACATTTCAGAAACCGTATGTATCAAATGCGATACATTTGGCATTATAGGGTTAAAAAAAATCACAAGAAATCATTAAAGTTGTTGAAAAAGAATCAGTGCTCTTATTTGGTATGTCTTTAATTTTCAAACCTTTTTTTTTATCCTTTCCCTGATTTAGAAGACGAAGGGCGGGCCTGGAATGGCAGTACTGACGCACTGTTGAGGATGGACAAGGAGGATCTTGGTCTGGGCTCTCGAGGAGGCCACTCAGGAATCCCTGTTCACTATAGCGGTGCCACCAGCAGGGCTTTAGGTCACAGCGAGTCCTTGGCAGGTGTTGACAACAACCCAGGATTCAGAGCGCTACCCAGAGCAGGACTCCCTCTTCCATGCCAGACTTTTCCTGCCTGTCGTAACGGAGGTTAGCAAACCTAATATTTGCATCTTCCCGTTGCTCTATTCTGTGAATGAATCCACTTGAGTAACTGGGAGAGGATTTGCAAATGTATACCTTAGACATAAATATTTTGGGCCAATATTACTGTCTTTTATTTGTATATGTGCATGAGTTTGCTAAATCACTGTGACTTGAGATCACATGATGCAGATGAATTTCCACTGCCTCCATCTGCTTTCCATTGTTCATATTTTTGATTGATTTGTTAACGTTTCCTTTTTTGTTTCAGTTGACATTTCTGTGATAGTTGTTATTACAGCATCAGTTTTGACAGGTAAAAGTTAGAAGTAAAAACAGTATCAGCTGAAAAAAATTGGCAGCACATATCTGGGATCGGTTAGATTGCTGTTAACAAAATCAGTGTCAGCCTGTAAAAAACAGAGTCAGTCAATCTCCACCGAATTACTGCATTCGATCAAACTTCAGTGTGTTTTATTTGGCAGACTTAAAAAAACTAAAGTATTTAATTAGATATTTGCAGCTCCACCAGAGGCTTTGTGGTTGCCAGTTTAGAATCAGAATAATAGTGAATCAGAATAATGGTAATTCCCTCCAAATGTGTGTCACACTTCCTGAGTGCAATTTGTAAAAAAATAAATAAATAAATAAACTTGTAAAAAATTTAAGTTTTTGTTTTCTACATTATTAAGCATAGGTGCTTCTAGAGAGCGGTCAATGGGGGCCCATGCCCCCATAGAACTGGTCCTGTTCTTATGAAATAATAGGAAATCAATTTATGAGGATGATATGAACTGATGCAAAAACTGTAACTGATAGGATTCTTGGAGCAGTTTTCAGTTCTCATCGATAATGATTTTAAAATCACAGCATTACTCTTTCAGCTTTAGCTGAATTCCCATCTGCTGTATCATAGGACCCCCACCCCCTGCTATTATAATGTGTAGTAACTGAGTACATTTACTTAAGTAACCTTTTGAACAAAAATCCCTTTAAGGAGTCATTTCTTATTTTTTAAGTAGTATTTTTTAGGACTCTTACTTTACTCTTACTCAAGTAATTTCTCATTAATCCATCCAACACCAGTAACACCTGAGATATTTGGAGATCGAATGAAAATACAATAAAATGTAGAAATTTAAAGTTCTTTATCTTTCCTAACACATGCATTGCCTACTGTAAGGATTGGTTTGTAAGTTTATGTTAAAAATGTATATTTAGAAAACTTATCCCTAGCTGAAATGGGTCATTATTATTTATTTATTTATCATTTTGTTTTAATAAAACATTTTGTCTTATTTGAAAAAAAAAAAAAAAACAGAGTTTGAACATAATTTTATGTCTTGATTGAATCACTTTAAACATTAAATCAGATGTTATGATCCAAAAATTACTCAGAATTCGAGCAGTACTTTTCTCTAAGTACTTTTTTACTTTTCAAGAAGTTTTTTGGATGACGACCTGCCTCTGGTTATTACCTAAAGTTCATCTTACAACAGTTATTACTCAAACAGTAGGTTTAACTGCTGAATAGGGTAATCTTAATAGTTCTTTCGGGTCTTCTTTTGGTTTTAACAATCATGGTCAGAAGTAATCAAATAATATAAAAATTGTAGAAAGAATATTCAGTATTTATAATATTTAGTTGTCTGTTATACCTCCATGTTTCATTCTGATAATCTGATAAATGATTGCATTGTAACATTTGTTTGCTTGCAGAAGTGGGGCGGCTGGGCCGCTCCTCCTCTGCTGCTGGAGTCAGACAGGTGGGTGGAGGAGACGTCCATAGACAAAGCAGCCTGCCGGTACGAGAAGCCCTGAATCAGGTGAATATATCTCGACTGGCCTTACAGCTGCAGACGACAGTAAATTTCAGACTGTTTATTTTGAAGACAACCTAAATTTTGTTCTCGTTACAAATTCTCCCCTTCTGTTGGAGACACTTCTTCTTCTGATCTATTTATAGCTGGTCGTTATGCCCACCGAGCAGAATAAGGATCTGGTCTGTCTGTGAATTTAAAAAAATTGGGGCATTGATGGAAAACAGAGCAGCAGTGAGGAAGGAATGCTTTGTGGACATGAAAACACGCTCAGCTGTATCAGGAGGGTGAACTGCAGTGTCCTGGTCTCACATTTTTGTCCAGTTTCTGGCTGTAGTGCAACTGCTGACGCAGTTTAACTGTTCTGCAGAGAGGATCTGCATGCCTATAGCCTCACACTGTAGAGTGTGCAGCCACAGCACCCCCTAGTGGCTGTCTCTGGGAAGTGAAACTCTCTTTGACATCTGCAGAATCTACATTTATAATTCTATGGAGGGAATTTTGTTCCATTGCTTTTGCAAACATTTTGTACATCTAAATAATAAAAAAAAGCAATGCACAAATGAAACTTGAAAAACTTAATATTGAAAAAAAAAAAAACGTATTTGGGAGTAACTTTATCGATGGTTTCAATTTTTATTTTTCAAAATTGTTAAAAGAGAAACGTCTTAGATGGAATTTTACAAATAAAATTTTTTATTGTGTTTTACAGGCGTCTTCTCTTCACTTCACGCCCAATACAAACGCTAACTATTGACCAATAAACATGTGTTGCTAACATCCACGTGGACCAATAGAAATGTGTCTTTGCTCCTCAGTGCAGAGGAAATCCTGCCCCAATGAGTGATGACACTGTGATCTGTGTAACAGCTTGAAAAGAATGCAATTTATAAAACTCTGAGAAACAGACATTTGAAAAGGAAAAATGAAATTAGAAAAAAAGCCCCACATTTGAAAAAGTAAAAAAGAAAAACTTAAATTTGAAAATATGAAATTAAAAAAGTTATAATAAAAGTTTAAACAAATAAAATATAAAAAAATGAAATAATATTGAAAGTTTAAACAATTAAATGTGAGAAAACAGTAAAGTTTATCTCAAAGTTTGATTTCTATATTTCTTCTTTTATTTCAATTTAAAACACGTTCTGCTTCTGCAACAATAATTGAACACAATTCACACATTATATACCATTTATATAATGATTTGAATCTGTTCATGTGCATTCTGCTTCATTGCAGCTGCATGGTGTGTCCCCCGCTCAAGCTCCTTGCAGCCCCAGTGGCCCTGGCGTGTCGCGGCAGCAGCAGCAGCTTCAGCTCCATCAACAGCAGCTGCAGCTAAAGCAGCAGATTCAGCACCTTCAGCAACAGCACCACCTACAGCTGCAGTTCCAGCAGCTCGCCCAACTGGCACAAGGACAGCCTCCCGCCGGCGGGGGCACCACGCCGTCTGCGCAGACGCAGAGGGATGGCAAGCTGCTTGAGGTCATCGAGCGCAAGCGCTGCCTGTGCAAGGAGATCAAGGCGCACAGACGGCCCGACAAAAGCCTGTGCAAACAGGACAGCATGCCCATCCTCCCCAGCTGGAGACGGACACCTGAGCCGCGTAAGACCGGCACACCACCATGTCAGAGGCCACAGGCCGTCGTGTGGGACACGGCTATCTGACCCCTCCTCCCCGGAGGAGCAGATTACATGACATGATCTTTCAGATGAAGATGAAATAAAAACTTTACTATTAACTCGTTAAAAACTCATCTCCAGATGTGGTTAGTGGAGACGCTGAACTTGAGCAACAAAAAAGAGGTGAGGAAATATAGTAAATACAATCAGACTAGATTACTTTCTTACCCAACTGATTTGTATTTCCTCTGTACTACGTACTGCACTGATGTGTTCTGATTGCCAACGAGTCGTTTTTTTTATTGTTTTTTTGCCACAAACACCAGTATAATCGCTAATACACTAGATTGGTGTTGCCAAATATCCTCCTGACTACTTGAGACACAAAGGAATCATGTACTTTACTCCAACAAAGTATCGAAAACTACTCTGCGGACGTCGAAGTGTTTCTTGAAACTCGTGAATGTATATGAGACGTGTTGGTATCAATAGATTGTCATTGTGGATGCAAGTTATCATCACTGAGAAGTTAAAAACTACCTACTGTATCCATTTGCATTTTTGTAATGTAGATCGATTTACTTTGTCAACCTTTCTGCAAATTTACAGCAATACGTTTTGGAGAAAAGAAAAACAAAAAAAAACTGAAGGAACATATTTAGAATAAAAAAACTTGTTTCAGCTAGTCTAACATACATATCTGAGACTTGAAAAAGTCATATTTACTGTGTCATACTCTGCATGTCCAAAAAGTAGACATGCCGTGCTGTAAGTGTAAAAACAAACAAACAAAAAAATTTGATCTTCACTTTGGTCCTGTGTGGTTGTGGGAAAAAGATGAATCTACCACTGAAAGGGGGGGTTAGTCCAGCCGAGTATACTTAGACACAAATTAGAGTTAAAAAAGAAAACAAACTCCATCACCGGTCATGCTTTTTATCCCGTTGCACATTAGCGTTTGGTCCACCGAGCACTGACACCCATGAGCTCAAAGACAGTGCAACACGATGCAACTGATGAGACTGTGAGCATCCATCACCTCAAACCGAATGCTGGAACGATCCGCACAAAGAGGACAAACTTCACACCCCCAGTGTACTGTAAATAGACCTGTACAAGTTGATTGAAAATGTAGCAGTTATCTCCATTTTCATACTTGTAATCAATACATATTATGTAGCATAGACTGTATAAACATGACTTTGTTTCTTTGTTTTTGTTCTTTTTCTAAGATAATTAAGTACCTGCTGCAGACAGCCCATGCATTACTTATTGTTCGAATTGCAAACAATGAGCCCTCTCAAAAAAAAATACAACAGTTGTTTATATAATTTTATGCAAGATTCCCTTTAAGCTCTGTTATTTATTCAACCCCCTTTTTCTACATTCACTTTTATTTGTGTACAGATTTCAACTGCTTTTTGGTCTTAACATTTTTAATACTTTGCTGCTATTTTAATACCCGTGTCGTTCATTGGACTACATAATGTTGCCATGATAAACTTTATTGAGATAATACTTATTGTTATAAATACATATATATATATATATACATATATATATATATTTGGATGGGAGGAGTCTAGGAAGCCACATGAAGTTAAGTTTGTATCTTAAAAAGTCAGCTCTCCTGTAATAGTTTAAAGGCGCTTGAATGTCTCTTGTTTGTTTTCTTTTTCTTTTTTTATAATAGTTATGGTACCAAACTGTACAGTGCAGTACATCCAGTGGAAAAAGACCTATTTGAAATGTATGACTTACTCTTTAATCCCCTTTTTTTTATTTTATTATTATTTGTTTACGTCCTCCTGCTCGTGTTTGAGGGTTTTTAATTTTTACTACGCCTTTTGAGTCCATTTCATATAAAGGAAAAAAAACAACAAAAACACACACAAAGAGGTCAACTCGGATGAAATGGGCAAGTGCAATGCATGCAGAGATTCCTTACACTGAAATGCTCCAAATGATACTTCCTATTGTGCCCAGTTTGAGTTTAAATACCAAGTAATCACCTTATACGTCTGATGGACTGATACGAAACCTAAGGTACTGGATACCTTTTATTTGTTTCCAGAATAGTTTACAGAGGCTGTTGGTTTTGTGTGTCTTCTGAAACAGTGGCCATTATACGAGTGCCATATACTCTATTGATATGGTAAGATACGGTGTACCTTGGAAATCACTGTAGTGCTATATTTGCATTGATATTGTCATTGGAAATAAATTTTATATAATGAACTTTACACAACAAGCAAAAGTGGTCCATGTTCCTGTATGTCATCAGTGACGCTGCGAGGATAAACTGGTATGGATGGATGGAGTAATGAAACAATGGATTTTAATACGGGTTTTTTTTGCATGTTTAAAGACTTCAGGTTTTGGTCCAAATAATTTTTTTATTATTGTTATTGATGATGATAAGAACCCACATATAACACCAATCTCCTGCAAAAATCAAATCAGTTCCATAATGTTTTCCTTTGACAGGAGAACCATGATCTATTCAAGCTAGAAAAAATATTTCTATTTTTGCATCTTTAGTCAAATTTTGTAGCATTATTCCCACCTATGGATCTATCACACAAACCATGTTTCAGATCAGCAATATCCCACATCAGCTCAAACTTATCAGGTTGAATGCAAATAGGTGCAACCAGAAATGTTTTGTTTTTAAATTTATGTAAATGCAAACAACTTACATTAGGTCAAGATCAGAAAACAAAATACCACGCTGGCATAATTCAGTTTGTATTTGTATTTATTCTATTAGATTATTTTCAATTAATATGCAACAACAATATTTTGTTCCAAACTAGTTATAAAAAAAAGGTCTCCTTTTTTTATTGGATGTGAACTCATATAAATACTGTGAAGTCAATATAAATCAAGCCAAGTTATTGAGTGAAACAGAAACCAAAGCAGCTGTGATGGCTTATTGTAGCATGCATCCCCCTAAAACTATGGACAGATGTTTTTATTTAAAATAAAGAGGCAGTTGAAATAAATCATTAATGCTTATTACATCAAATAAATAAACTTTAAATAAACCCATTTTAAAAACAACACAATGTATATTTAAAAAAGTTTTACAATTAATATCCGAAAAAGGCACAGGCTGAATGACATGAAAAAAATACAAACAACTTCAAATATAATTAGCAAAAAAAGGAACTTCGCAATCATTTAATAATCTTTTAAACCCTAATTATATTAAATTCAAATCAGCATTTATTATTCTGTGTTTCAATAAAAACTGAAACACAACTATTATTCATGTCAGTTCCTCCTTTAATTATTTCAGAAATAGTTTATCCTCCTGAATTATATTATCCTTTTATTAATATAACTAGATTCTGATTTCAAATATGAAGACATTTATTTATTACTTGGACAAGTACTCCCAATACTTGTAAATATATGTCAAATAATTGAAGGTGAAAGCTTTTACAAATAATTGATTTGATGCTTTTTCATATCAGGCATTGTTTATTAACCATAAAATAATTTCAAGTAAGTCAATTTTTCTTGACTTAAGTTTATTTTCCCTTAATTGATCAGGCAAGTAAGACACTTTACTAATGGAATAAGAAGATCAATGTTTGAAATATTTATCTTATTTCCAGTGTATAATAGGTAATTATCTTATCTTAAGGGACAAATACTAATTTTGTTGCCAGATCATCTTATTTACCTGCTCAAAGTGAGGGTTATTATCCTGATTTGAGATTTGATTTCCTTATATTTAGTTATAGATCAGTATTTGCAGTGAATGGTAGGGTTTTAATGTATCAACGCAATTACCACCGAACACCCTGAATTTTGTTTTTATTTAGTGTGAAAATCGAACAGTTTTTGAAAACTAAATTTTGAATAAATGATTCAGATTAAGAAAAATTCAATTGGTGTCATCTGATGACATAATTTTTAATGTATTTGGCTCTACAAATATAATTTAGCTCAAGTATGAGAAACTTAGGTCCCGGTACTTAGCCTCGTGGGACCCCACAGGTTACTTTCCTCAACTATTATTCAGTATTATCTATTTCCACACACTGAAATCTATTGTGTGAGTAACTTTTTTTTTTAAATCTTTTTTACTGTAAAGACAACAATTGGTCAGTCTCTTTCCAGAAACCAATAAATACACTGATAGCATGCTGTTTGTTTTAATCTAATGCTGTTTCTTCAGACCTGGAGAACAGCTTTATGCATCAGGCTTTGCACTGCAGCAGCTGCAGCAGAGGGGAAAAGGGGACATGTTGTTCCTTCTGCACTCCTGCAATGCCTACTTTTTCCAAATGAGGGCGCTACCTTCACTCCTTATTTCCCCCGTCGTGTCTGTCATGCAAACTACTGTTAAACTGTCGCAAAGGATGATGTTAGTAGTTTTATTTTTTTTTTACTTTTCATTAACAAGCTTATTTATTCTGACATAATGTCTGCAGTCGGTGCATTCAAATGGCTTAAAAACTTCTATATAAGATTCAATGTAATATTTGGTTGAAAATACAACATATTTATTCTAATTAGTTGTGCCTAAAATACCTCTAGAATAATTTAGTTGCTGAATATGTGTTTTGGATTCTTTAATTTAACTTAAAAAAAAAACAAAAACCTAGTAGATAGGAGTATGTTAAAGTAGAGCCCTTTAGAGGCCCTGTGGGATTATTTGTTGATTGTTGTGTGGATATATGATGCATCCTGCTCCAATAAAATAAGAGCCAGGCCGGTCATACAATTTGCTTATAGACTTGTCTCTCATGACATGGGACATTGAGGAGTGGGGATGGAGGGCAGATGATTCGCTTAGCCTGCAGGAAGAGGGAGGGAGGATGAGGCAGGGTTTGTGTGCGTGTGTGTAAATGTGTGTGTGTGAGACGTACAGAGAGAGGCGGAGGGAGTGCTTTACCGCAGTATCACTACATTTCTGCACCACTCATCAAAACTCTGCGGCATGCAGGCTATAGCTCGAGGGGAGGGCACTTATTATTAGGTCTGTCCTGGGTACTCCCTCTCATCAGACCGGCCTCTGTACAGTTTTTTACTTTCATTTCCAACCATCTGTTTAGCACTGAGCGTCTGAGTTCATCATTCCTAATTTTTGGCTTCTTTTTTGTTTTTTGTTACCGGTGTCAGGGGCAATTGTTGCAACCTCCACTGTAGAGCAATTGCAACGCAACTTTTGTAGGTTTTAAAAAAAACAACAAAACTAATTTAGAACAGAATGGCAAAGGATGGAGAGAAAAGCGAATGGAAGGAGTGTGTTTGGAACCCAAGGACCAGGGAGTTTCTGGGCAGAACGGCGAGCAGCTGGGGTGAGTAAGTCTGTGCAGCTTACAGCAATGCAGCAAACAAGCTCCCCCTGGCTCTGTAACAGGTCGCTCTTAGGGAGTATATCCCTCAGGCGCCGGGGGTGGGGGGGTTTGGGTGCATTAAAATCACTAAAATGTGTGTGACAGTGTCAGAAATTCACCTTTGCAGAAGTTTATCTATGGAGGTTTTCCGATCATGAGGGGACTGTCGCTGTCCAGAGCTGTGGTGCTGAAATCTGACTGCGGCACCGCTCCGCGCAGAAGCCGGCACATCATTTCCCTCATGGAGGGTTATTACTTATATAGGCCAGAGCTTTTCCGGGCTATAAAGCTGCACCTAAGGGTGAAGTCATGCTGTGTCCTTCTCTTTTTCCATGTGATTTTCCAGATTACAGCAGCTCTACGCTGTAGTCAAAGTGCTTGTCATCGGTTTACTCTGAACCCTGCTGAAGATAAGCCCTTCTTCTAGGAAGTAATTGTTTTAAGTTAAGCAGAAACTACTTTCCTTGCATCCAACTGTCAAAAATACGTTCAATATGATGCAGGTTGATAATTTGTTTGCCACAACTTCTTTTTTTATCACCTACACAGGGGCGTTGCTAGTGTGGGGGGCATTGGGAGGGATGGCCACACCTGTAAACTTACTGCCCCCTGTAAGAAAGTTATATATGTCCAACCCTTTCTATTTCTGAACACAATCTTAAACTTTGATATATCGGGTTTCAACAAGGGCTGGTGATCTTGCTTTCAAATTGTTGGTCACTTCATATGAAACCTTTTCAAAATGCAAAAGTCTCAGGTCCAAATAATTCCCTAAAGGTGACTGAGATGCATTTCTGTCCCCAGCTTCAACAAAAAAAAAAGTTGAACAAGTTTTGCATGTTCTAATTTTCCTTTTAAGCAGATTTCAGTGATTCGAAGACCCCAGGATTGGTTTGGGGCTACTTCTCATAATTAGTCATATTTAATAGTCCTGAAATGGATTAAATGGGATTCAAAAATCATAATAAATGCAACATGGCGTAATAAGATATCTTAAAAAAAAATGCATTAAATTACATCATGGGAGAGATTTAAGCTTCTTTCTGAAGATTTTGTTTCTTCATTATGGCTCAGAGTATACTTCAGTAAAAAAAAATAAACAGATTACCAATGCTTAAGTATGTTGATAAAACAATATTACTCAGATATTAATTACTAGTATAAAGGAATAGTTTCTAAAAAGAAATTAGCTGGACGCAGTTTCGCTAAATAATTCCTTTAAATTATTTCAATGGAAATAAATGGTCTTTTATTGATTTAAATTGTTTTCTCCATACTAAATAAAAACAAATCTCCATTAAAACATCAAACTGTTTGATCATCAAGAGAAATAAATTCATTTGTAATGATTTTGGTATATTGGCACATAACAAATTGTTTTATGGGTATGTTGGTACAAAAAAACAAAGTTGACCCAAACCTGTTTAAACATTTATTCATTTAAACATATTTCATTTTTTATTCTTTTATACCTTTATACCATTCTCCAGCCCCTAAATAATGTTTAGGGGCTGTTTCTATTGCTTTTGTTTTTAAATCTGCTAACACTAAGATGATCAGTGCCCCCACCTCATCCAATCCCCTCCCCCTTTTTACATTTTCTGAGGCCCCTCCCCATCATTTCAATGGTTTCAAAGGTTCATGAAATAGCAGCACCCATATGTCTGTGTTCTAATGTCACCAAGGGCAGTTTAATCTGGGTAAAGCCGAGGGCCAAATGCTATTTGTATCACCCTCAACCTGGCCCCGCCTGGCCTGTGTAGTTCAGCAAAGGGATTTAATCCTAATCTAATGACTTCATAGGCTCATGGAGAAGGTATCAATTCAGGACATTCTGGCAATGCAAAGGACTAGGAAGAACACATACCATTTTTGATAT